GGACACCTGGACAGGCTCCTGCCAAGCCTGCTCACATCCAGATCCTACAGGAGGGGGGTTATGGCAGTGGTGTCCATAGAGATAACCTCTGGGCTTCTCTCCCTGGTGGGAGGTGGGATGTGACCGCTGCAGTCTGTCCTTGCTGCTGGCTGTAGCATTTGTTGTGGGCCAGAGGCATTGCTCTGTTGGGGAGGACTGTCCTCATGGTGAGCAGTGTCTTGGCTCAGGGCGAGCAACCTGCAGTGGTGGCAGGAGTCCATGCCTCTCTTCCTTCCACGCTGGAGCCCAGCACATGCCTCTCCTGGTAGGTCTTGCACTTACAGAGGTATAATGTCTGAGTGGTGCCCTGGTAGGTCTTGCTTCTAGCACAGCCCTTTTCCCTTTACCTGCTCTTGAGGAGAATGGCAGCTTCACTATTTCTTTAGGGCTGGAATAATTTATGTAGCCTAAGTCACTTTTGCTGGGTGTCTAGTCTAGAGTCTTGGGAGGGTGGGAGGTCCTCTCTGCTGCTGCATTGGTTAACTGCAGCACTGTCCATCAGCTTTCTTTCTAATACCCATCTGAAGTCGTAATGCACTGGCTGATCAGAGCTGCCCAAGAGGGATTGTGGGATAATCTGCATAATAATATTGGGGAATTAGTCCACTCCTCAAGACTATCTGAGCAGCTGGCTATAGGCCATGAGTAAATATGAGTTAAATATTTAATGCAATTAATATATTTCAAATAAGTGTCAGGGGTAGGGCTGTGAACACCCATTTGTTGCATTTCTTCCCATGTGCACCACCTCTCTCCTTTTGGGAGAATGTGTTGGAATTGTTCCCCAAATGTCCTCTGTGTCTTCCCCTCCCAGCAGAATAAAGCTGTCCTTCTTAAACACTGGTCACTTGTGTGCTTGGTTTAGAGGAGGAATCCTGCAAGGGGAGCTGCAGCTGCTTGTGTTCAGGAAGAACATCTCTGAGCTTGTTTCTTGTGCTGTGATGTGCAGATACCTCCCTCTCAACCATCTATGCGTGGTGCGGGTTGGTTTGCTCAGCTTTCCCAGGGAGCAGCTCAAGCACAAAGCCCTGGGGGATTGCATCTCAGTGGGTCACAGCCAGTTTGCTCAAACCTGGAGCTGGGTTCACCTCACTGCAGCCTGTGGAAGGTCCTGAGTGATGGCAGAAAGGCTGGTGCTCCCTGTGTGCATGCTTGGGCAGTCCTGCATTGGTTTCATGTGGCTAACATGGTCTGCTTGGCAACCATGGAGGCTCTGCTGTGTCCTGTCTATATTTAGTTTTAAACAAGTTCTGGAGGAGGAGAAGACTTGCTTGAGAAAGCATCCTGTTGCTGGGAGTGTGCCGTGGCTGAATCACCATCAGAGTTTGCTTTGGGCCATGGTGAGGTGTACACGGACAATATAGATCTGGGGAAGGGGCTGAGTGGAGGCAAGGAGCCCTGTCATGCTTCTCATCTTCCTGCAGATGAGGTGTGTCACGCAGGGCAGAGCTAGGGATGGGGCTCACATCCCAGAGTTTCTGTATTGAGATTCATCTGTAGCATCATGTCATCCTCTGTTTGCCTGTGCAGTCCTGGGCTTCTCAGAGAAGAAACAATTGTTATCTCCTTCGCTGGGAGAAGCAGTTAGGAATTGGCAAAGGAAGGAACCTGAGTTCGGGTTGTCCTTTCGAGTGCATGTGTCATCACCATGTGTCCCCTGGGTTACCGTGTGTCCAGGCTGGTTGCACCTTGGCATGGTACTTCACAGTCATGCTTTGGTCTTGGTCTTTCTGGGCATCTGCAGGCCTCCCCAGAGCCTAACTCTTATCATTTCCAGTTATTAGTGGATTTTTCACACTTCTGATTAACATCAGTCCCATGTATGTATGAAGTGCTGTTTTGGGAGAAGGGGGTTTAAGCAGGGGACATGCGTCATTCATTGGGAGCGATGTTTCCTGAGCCTGGGAGTTTCTGTTCTCATTGCGCAGGGGAACTTGTAATCTCTGTGTTTCTGGTTCTTCTTCCTCCTTAACATGGGGTGTTTATTAGCCAAGGGGAAAAACTGCCTGTCCAGCTGCAGGACGTATTTAGACTGGCATCAGGGAATGTCCCTCATGAACCATTCTTGTTTCCATCACAAATGATTGTGAGGAAAGGAAAAACCTTCTTTACTTAGACCTCCCTGAGGCTTGCTGACCCACTAAGGCAAGCTGAATGCAACCCTTGGGTTGGAGGAACGCGTGATGTACCCCACTGTCCATGTGTCCTGCTGCACTTACAGAGGTATAATGTCTGAGTGGTGCCCTGGCCCCGTGCCTTCTGTGGGACCAAGGTGACACCAGAACCCAGAGGTGACATCCCTGCCCATGGGGGTAACATGGTATGCTGAACCTCAGCTCTGTCCTGGGAGCAGGGTAGCCTTGTGATCATCTTCCTCCACCACTTCTGATAGCTTTCCAAAGCACACCAGAGAAAAGGGTATGGTCTGCCTGGATGCATTTGCAAGAGGCATTTGTCACCCCAAAGCATGGGATGGTAAATGCAGCCAGGATACACTCCCATCCTTGTCCTGGGCCCCGGTGGGAGGACGTGTTCTGTCTCCAGCTTCTGGGGGCTACTTTCTCCCTGGGATTTTCTCACCATCGGGTGTCTTGAGTTGGGTATGGAAAAGGATGGTGATTCTCACAGCTGGTGGGGAGTCTTTTCTTCACTTTCCAGGATCAGTAGACCAGAAATCAGTGTGCATAAGGCAGAAGAAAGACTGGCAGGAACTGTCTGATGTCCTCAAATGATTTTATTGTCCATCCACATGCTGTGGTCCAGGGGGATGGTATGAGAGCAACTGGTGTGTTGCTCTCACTGATCCAAAGTAATGAGTCCCTCCCTCGGGCTGGGGGAAGCAGTTTCTGGTGCAGATCCCTATGGAACCTCCTGATCTACAGGCTGGGGATCTGTCTGGGTGGCTGTGCTGGAAGGTGATTTATTCCTCATTGCAAAGCACCTGGGAAGTTTGGTGTCCTCAGCAGCTGTGGTCAAGGCTGAACCCTGCTGTGCTGAATCTCCCTGCTACATGGGCAGCAGCGTCCGGGGGAGAGAACAGGGAGGAAATGTGGAGGAGAGGCACTGTATGTGCCTTGTTTTTTGTGAAATCAATGGGATACAGCTGGATAAGCAATAGGGCTGATGCAGGCTGGAGAAGGATGTGGGGAGTGGGAAAACAGAGGAAAGGGAGAATGGGCTCCGGCTTTGTGTCTGCGTGTGCTGAAGGGCGAGTGACTGGCAGGGACTTGCAGTGCTTTGTTCTGGGTGGCGGCAGCTTGCTGCAGGGCAGAGCTGCTGCCCTGGCTCAGGAAACACAACTTTCCAGCTGTGAGAGGCAGGAGAAGAAGGTGGGATGCTCAGAGGGACCCTATCCCTGACCCAAACCCCAAATTTGTCCCCAGGGCTGTGAGGACTGCTGTCGGGCAGCCCGAACCGGTTGGCTCCGCAGCAGTGCTGTGTGCGGAGACTCTCCAGCCGGGCTGGGGCTGACTCACGCGCAGCGGTCACAGCCAAGTCAGGTCAGCCTGGCCTGGAGGGGAAGAGACAGTCTCTGGGGACAAGGATGCCGTCAAATCTTCCAGCTTCTCAGGCAAACAGCCTTGCCCTCTGCCTGCTGGGGTGACCTCCTCTGCCAGGCATGCCTTCCCCTCCCTGTTCCCGCTTGCTACTGCTGTCTTCATCTGCAGGTTGCCAGCCAGGTATGGAGCAGATGGTTGAGCCAGCGGGGAGATGGGAGCATGGAAAGAGCCATGGGCAGGCTGGGGGAGGCAGGCTGGGGCAAGCAAACCTCTCTTTGCAAAACAGAGCACTCAGCAGAGAGAATTTACGGTAACCAAGGCCAGGAGAGGCTCAGCTGGGCATCTGCCGCAAGCGTTTTTGTGAAGCAGCTCAGTTTGGCACCAGGAGCCCCCGCGTCTCCCTGAACTGTGGATGCTGTGGGGCTGATGCCCAGGGCTCCCGCAGGCAGCAGAGCGCTTCCCCACTGGCCTGATCTTGGCTCTGGCTGGCCGGGGCAGGCGTGCTGGTTGCCAGTTAGTGATGCAGTTAACACGGCAGCCAAGGACTCGTATGACTAAGGAGAAGGGACTGAAGCAGGGTTTGGGATTTGTCCCCCAGGCTGTGCTCTGATTCATGTTGTGATGGCAGGGGCTGGCTGTGACCCTTGGCCGCGCAGCCAGTGCAGTGCCAGCAGAGAGTTGATGCTGGCCACCAGCACCCGGTCTGCTCTGTTCCATGTGTGAGGTGCTGGTTCTTGTGCCAGCAGCCAGAGCCACGTGGCTCTTTAGCTGCTGGCTCTGCAGTGCCCTTAGCCTCACTGTGCCAAGAGGCACCAGGATATGCTCATGGCTGCTCCTCCCAGCCCTGGCAGCTGTGGCAGAGATCCCTGATAAAGTCCCAGAGCTTTCCTCCTGGTGTCTTTTCATCCTGGGCTTTATTTAGGGTATGAAAACAACCTGGTTCTCCCTCTCGGAGAAGCCTATCCCTCACTGTCCATGCAGTGGTGGAGGTTCTGGGCTGGAGCAGGGCTGGCAGAACCAGAGCACTGAGGCTGCCTCCCAGGGAGGAGGCTCAGCCCTGGTGCCACACACAGCTCTGCTCCCTGGGGAGCTGCTGGGCAGGCTGGAGCTGGCTGCAGGGACCCTGGGAGCAGCTGAGCTCAGGCAGCAGCCGACTGGTTTCCTGCTGTAGTTTGTGCACAGAATAGGAGCTGTGGGCAGGCCAGAGGGACAGAGGAGAGAGAGGCAGGGAGCAAGCTTGGTGCTGATTTCACACTGAAGGGCCCCATGGTGATGACCCTGGAGAACTTTTCCCTCAATGGCTTTGGGCTGTGCCTTTGAGGGGGACCACAGACTCTCAGCTGGAGGTCCAGCAAGCAGTGCCCCATGCACCCAGCAATAGCTGTTACCTGGGGGCATCCTCTCTGTGCAGCTCAGGTGCTACTTGCCACTGACTTGCCTCCTTTGCTTTTCCTTTCCCAGTCCTCAGTATGCTCCAAGATCGTCCAGCTGCTGGGCCAGAATGAGGTGGACTACCGCCAGAAGCAGGTGGTGATCGTGAGCCAAGACAGCTTCTACCGGGTCCTCACCTCGGAGCAGAAATCCAAAGCACTCAAAGGCCAGTTCAATTTTGACCACCCAGGTGAATGGAGAACAGCACTGGGGCTCTGCTGTGCAGTGGGGGGTGAGGGCTAGAGGGGGACCCCCACTCCACCAGCAAAGATCCTTGCATGGATGCTGGGACTATGTCCCCACCTGGAACAGGAGTGGGTGGCTTAATTAAGCTCTTCTGGAGGGTGGCTGGGGGACATCTGTATCCTCTGCAGTACAACCTCTGTCTCTCTTGGGCAATAAACTGCCTTTGGTTGGAGTGTTTGGGATGAGAAAGGGCAGGTTGTGAACCCTCACACTTAAGACACTCCTCCCTGCAAAAACATCCCCTAGTTCAAAAACCTTTCTGGTGCAGCTGGGTCAGGAGCAGGGAGATCTGGCCTGGCACAGCCTCCTGGAGCCAGCAGCTCCATATCCCTTCTTCAAGGAGGAAACTGTCTTGTGCAGCTGCTCTGCAAACCCATCCACTGAGGGAGTCCACAACAGGGACTCCTTGAACCATCTCTGGACTTGGTGGGGAAATTTCAGGGCTACTGTCCCTTCGTCCCCACAAGGACAATGGCTGGAGGCAGCGAGCACTGAGCAAACAGAGCTCTGTCTGTCTGGCAGCTCGAGGCTGAAACACTGCTCCAGTCTCTCCGAGGGCTGGAGCCCCGGAGGAGATGCCTTCCCCAGCCCAGGCTGTCAGTGCTGCCATACAAGGATGGTATTGATCTCTGCGGGCCAAATCCCAGGCTGGTGCAAAGTGGTGAAACTCCATGAGCTCTGGGTTAGCTGAGCCTTGCTACACCCATGCAGGGCTTTCCTCCCAAGTCTGTGTGTCTGTCTGTCCCCAGCATGGGGTGCCAGTGGCTCTGGCTAAGTTGAGCTCAGTGTCTGGTGGGTGGGAGAGGTTGCAAAGCTGCCTCGGGTAACATTTCCTCTCTCCTCAGATGCCTTTGACAACGAGCTGATTGTGAAAACACTCAAAGAGATCACGGAAGGGAAGACTGTCCAGATTCCCGTCTATGACTTTGTCTCCCACTCCAGGTCTAACAGCTGCCCCTGCCTTGCTGTGCCTCTGCTAATGCCCTGTGACACAGCACAGCCCAAACTGCCTGCCCCTCTGCTTCTGCCCACTCTTAGGCATCTAACCTACCACGACAACCAAAAGTTTCAGTGTTAACTACTCCAAACCCCTTGGTTAGAGGATCCAGGGCAGGTACAGGTTTAGTCTGAGGGTCTGGAAAGCTGCACAGCCATGCAGTTGCATCCAGCAACATGCAGGCATCAGTGGAGGGGGTTTATAGCTCCCCTTTTCTTCCCCCATATACAATTTCTCTCCCTGTAAACTCTCTGTTTGCAGCTTTAACAAGCATTCCAGGCTCAAACAGTATGGCACTGCCATGAAAGGAGGACAGTTCTGGCTCCTGTAACTCTTCCCTTGCATGTGTTCAGTTTGTTTTTGCATGCCTGTGTTGGTCACGGATGGTGTGACCCTGCTCCATTTCCTGCAAAGCGCTGTGGTGTCGGGGAGGGCTGCCCGGTCCCAGGGGAGCAGAGCTGGCCCTTGTAGGTTCCTGTGGGTCAAGCCCCATGCACAGGCTTTCTGGGCTTTATGGCTTGGCACAGAACACTTGCAAGCAGCAGCTGGCCGAGGTTGGGGGGAGAAGGGCTAGTCTGCTTCCTGCTCTGCCATTTGTCCTTCTAGGAAGCGTATGTATGCCCTGGATTCCCTTCACCGCGGCGGGGTAGGTCTGCCCTCTCTTCTGTCGCTCCCCTGGTGCAGCAGTGATGTCCCAGGGTTGGAGCAGTGCCTAGGAGCACTGCTGCTTCCCCCACCTCTCTTGGCTTGTTCCTCCCCACCAGCATATTTTGACTCTTCTTCCTTCTGCTAGGAAAGAGGAGACGGTGACAGTCTACCCTGCCGACGTGGTGCTCTTCGAAGGCATCCTGGCCTTCTACAGCCAGGAGGTGCGGGATCTCTTCCGCATGAAGCTCTTTGTGGACACAGATGCAGACACCCGGCTGTCCCGCAGAGGTGAGGCCCAAGCCTACCTTGTGCAGCAGGGACAAAAATGTCACTTAACCGATGTGGGTGGCTTGTTGCAGAGGCAGGTGACAGTGACCAGAGCAGAACTGGAACTGGCACAGAGCTCTGCTGCTGCTCGCAAACAGCCAGGGAGGTTTTCCTCCCCAGTGCAGAGTGTCACACAGGGCAGCTTACTGCAGTGGGGAGCACCTTGCTCCATGTCCCTTGGGATTCAGCGAGGTTTTTGCTGCCTTGGCTGGGATTCCTCCTTTGATGGATGCAGCAGTGTGACTACTGAGCATGCTGTGTCCTCACACGGCCCTGTGGCACCAGCCCTGTGCCATCAGCTGAACAGCAGCTACTGCCAGTCAGCAGGTACCAGCAGGGAAGCTGGTGGTGCAGTGGGCACAGCAGAGCAGCTCGACAGCTCAATCAGAAGGCAGTGCCTGATGGATCCGCTCAGGAGCTGGGGTATTTGAGGATAGCATTTAGGTGTGAAGGTGGATGATGAAGATAAGGAGTTTGGTTTTACATCTGGGTGGCATTTAGGTGTGAGGGTGTCCATTGTGAATGATGCAGGTAGGGAGTGTGGTTTTACATCTCGGTTTGTGCAAGCACAGCCAATGCAGTGTGGAGCTTCTTTGTAGTACTTGGCTCTGGGGTGATGGCTTTGGGGACAAAGAGCTCTAGAAACCAGAATATCCCTCTCTAGGACTCCCCATGTCCAACTGGCTATGCTGTGGGTTGCCAGCTGATGTAGGAGGGACTCTAGCTTTGCAGGGTCTGTGTGGCTTGAGATGCCATTCATTTCAAAGTAGCCTTTAGGAGTGGGGTCACTGATGTGAGACCTGGACAGGCTGGAGAGCTGGGC